GGTGGTTGGTAATAATTTACAATTCAAAACTACTCAAATTAAACAAAAGGTAACTAGTTTGCATATCCACACTGCTTTTCCTTTCTAATAGGCATTTTCTCTCTCTAAGTTTAGTGATCTCGCGGATATATCAATTGCAATCATTTCCACTAGAGGTAACTGCAAATGATATGGAATGATAGCCATTTGCAATTACAGATCTGCCAAAATCCATTAATATTTACTTCTCAAAAATCATTTTCAGTTGCTGAAAGTGTTCTCTGATACAAAGTTCTGTTGCTCTCCAGATTATGTTGTTTATCTACTTCCTTCATGTGAGACTAAAGAGGCACTGATGAATGACGGAAGCTGCACCGCAGCTCAGTCACTCACTGATTAAAAGTCTTGGACATTCAATTTTCTTTCATTACCGTCAAATACTGACTGTCCTTTGAAAGGTTCATCACAGAAGAATGACAGCTCCCTGAGCTATGCGGGGAGTTTGCATGATGAAATAATTAATGATTTCTTACAGGCAAAGACTAATGAAAACAACAGAATAAATACAGAACAGTGAAAATAAACATAATGTAGTCAAGACAAAGAAAAGGCATACTTTGGAGTTCAGGGAAAGAGCATCTCATGGCTAACTGATGTGAAAGATGTAAATTACCTTGTGAAACAAGCAGTGATTAATCTGGCACCAAGGAGGAACAAGAAAAATAATAATAATGGAGAATGAAAATTCAAATAAAGAAAAAAGAACAACAGATGGTGAAGTAAGACAGCCAAGACTATTGCAAGGAAAACAAATCCCAAAAGCAGATTCAAGTAAATGTACACAGCAGGAAACAAAGAGCAGAGTGCAATAAGAGGGGAACTTAAACAGAGCAGAATGGCTGTATTTTGCACTTTGCTCCTCTCAGTTGATTTTACAAAAGATGGGATATTGTGCTACTTTAGTTTCATGGGTTAATGTCTTGAAATTTATAAGGAAATGTGTCAACTGGAATCCAAAAATAATTACCTTGCTTAAAGATGTTAGCACAAGCGCAGGGATACCTATGGCTATGATCAAGTGTCTAACTCTAAGGTGGGACTGTTTCCCCTTCTAATGAGAATTCGGTTATAGCTGGAAAAAAATGCTTTTCTTTTGTCTTCTAAGGAAGAATCAAATATCTCTATGGAGTAATGGAAACAGAATTGTAGTAAACTTGAAAATGATTGAACATAGCATATTCATTATAGGTAAATTTGATTTAAACTTTAAAAAGTAATCCAATTACCACAAATTAGGTGATATTTTAAAATAAGAGTATATGCAACCAGTGCTGTGGCATAGTTGGTAAAGCTGCCACCTGCAGTGATGGCATTCCATAGTTCTCTACTATGACCTGGGAAAGCAGTAGAAGATGGCCCAAGTGCTTAGACCCCTGTACCCGCATGGGAGACCCTGAAGAAGCTCTTGGCACCTGCCTCATATTGGCTCAGCTTTGGCTCTTGTGGCCATCTGGAGAGTGAACTAGGGGATGGCAGATCCCTCTCTATGCCTCTGCTTCGGCCTATCTGCAACTCTGCCTTTCAAATAGATAAATAAATCTTTAAAAAAATTAGGAGTATAAATTGGTTGTAAGCATTCCATAGGAAAACAGAGGCTGGAAAGTAGAGCTTGACAACAAGCAGATATAACAAAATAGAATCATTTTTATAATGTAATATTTGAAAACAAATCATCACAAAATATTGTGTATATTGGCATAATAAGAAGTAATAAAATGATATAGAAAAGACACATCAGGATACACAGGCAAGAACTGAGCAAATTATTTGGCAAATTTTAAAATTATGTACAAATAATCAAAATGGCAGTAGTAATGATCATTTAATATTTCATATAAATGTAATGATTTATAAATAATGACTTAAATGCCAGTAAATTTCTGAGTCTACCTTGTTGATTAAGCACATTGGAAAAGGAAAGAATCAAATAATGGAAACACAGAATGTACAAATTCCTCTGCTTTCACTTAGCATTTTGAGACTGGTAATTGATAGATGGGTAGTTTTAATTGTGTGTATAACTAAAAATGCTTTTATTAGCTTCTTTGGCCATATAACAAATTACTACAAATTTAGTTGATTACAATACAGTTATGGAGGTCAGAATTCAAGACATGAGTCACCCGAATTCTTAGGATTTCAAAAGCCAAAATTAGCTAGGCTTCCCTGTGATCAAAAGTCTTAGGGAAGAGTCACTTTCCAATTACATTCAGATTATTAACAAAATGCAGTTTCTTTTCCTTCCTTTCTTTCTTCCTTCCTTCCTTCCTTTCTTTCTTTCTTTCTTTCTTTCTTTCTTTCTTTCTTTCTTTCTTTCTTTCTTTCTTTCTTTCTTTCTTTCTTTCTTTCTTTCTTTCTTTCTTTCTTTCACAGTGAGAGAGAGAGAGACAGAGAGAAAGGTCTTCCTTTTCCATTGGTTCACCCACCAAGTGGCCGCTATGGCTGGTGTGCTGCTGCCAGCATGCTGCAGAGATCGAAAGCCAGGAGCCAGGTGCTTCCACCTGGTCTCCCATGCGGGTGCAGGGTCCAAGCACTTGGGCCATCCTCCACTGCCTTCCCGAGCCACAGCAGAGAGCTGAACTGGATGTTTCTTAAGGATGTAGGACTGAGAATGTCAGCCACTAGTTGCTTCCTATCATTCTGTGTTACATTAATCTCTCTAAAATGGCAGTTTGCTCCCTCAAGGTCAGCAGTTGTATCTGCTACTGTTTCACATCTCTTTTATGGAACTCACCTGATTAATTGAAATGACCATATTAGGATCTTAATTACATCTGCAGATCACTTTATCGTTGTTATACAGGTCATTATGGGAGTAGTGTTTCAACTACTCTCATGTCCAAAAACCAAGTGTACAAGTGGGAAGATCATTGTGTTCTGAGAAGCATAAAATAACAAATATTTGTAAGTCAAGAGCTTGGCTCCAGGGAGACTAGATTCGGACAGGAGGAAGAACAATTTCAGAGCCTTTTGCAGATGCCTACCTCTTTTTTCTTGCAACAAAAAGCAAGTATACACAGGAACACTTCCACTTGCCTGCTGCAGCAGTCAGGCTGTAAAGAGGCTTGCATCTAACTATGCTCCTCTCAGCTTCTATGAGCCTATAGACAATGCTATCATACAGACAAGCAATTGCATAACAAAGCTACATCAGTCTGGGTCTGTCATTTACTATGACACTGGTTGTCATAAAAACACAGAGATATTGGATAGAGGAGTGAGAACATGATAAGGCTCATTTTCCCAAATAATTATTATTTTAATAAGTATTTTAAGTAGTCAGGAATCCTGGAGGTGGTATTGTAGTTCAGCAGATTAAGCCATAGCTGGAGACACCAGCATCCCATGTTAGAGTGACTGTTTGAGTCCCAGCTGCTTTGCTTCTTGTCCAGCATCCTGAAAATACACTGAGGAAGACAGTGGAAGATGGCCCAAGTGTTTGTAACATACCAGTTTGGAGTTCCTGGCTTTTAGTTTTGTCCTGTTCTTGTCCTGAACTAGACCTGGCAGTTGCAACTATTTGGGAAATAAACCTTCAGATGTATGATCTCTCTCTCTCTCTCTCTCTCTCTCTCTCTGTTGCTCTGTCTTTAAATAAATTTTTAAAAATGTTTAAAGAAGAATCCAAAAGTAGCTTAGCCCAGTGATTCTGCTTTGGCACATTGCATGAGGTTGCTGTCAAGCTGTGGCCTAGGGATGCATTTATCTCAAAATTTGTTGGAACTGGAGATTTCACTTCTAAGCTCATGCATGTCCTTGTTATCAGGAGGCTTGAGTTGTTCAATACATCAGTTTCTCCCTAGGCTTCCAGAAAATACTCTTGTGAAGGCAGGTGGCTTCTCTAGGACAAGTGAGTAAAGAATGAGAGTAATAGCATCACCAAGAAAGAAGCTGCACACATTTATAACCTAATCCCAGAAGGATAATTCTGTGCATTGTGCCAAATTCTGTTGGTCACACAAACCAGAAAAGTCACATGAGGGATTAAACAAAAATTTATAAAAGAAGAAAGGAATCATTGGATGTCAGTTGAAGGCTAATTGCATTGGGTACAGAGCAGTACAAAGTGAAAACTATACTGTAAGTATTAATACTGTTAGTTATAATGAAGTAACAATTTTATATTAGAAATCTGAGTTATTAGTTTTAAAAAATAACCTTCTATATACCCTAATGCAAATGCCAGCATTGATTTTCGAAGTTCCATTGAAGATTAAGTAGAAACTTCATGAATAGGATGATAATAGTACAAAAGTCTCTAAGGAAAACAAGTATTCCTCTTCCAATGCCACCTCAACCCAAGTGATTTTTGTTACTATGTAAACTTCTGTGTATTTCCAGTTCAGATGTCTGGGCTGCAGTCTCTGTTACAGGTCAAGACTGTTAAAAATACCATCTAGTTAAAGGTGTTGGTCCCCTTGAAAAATCAGGCAAAGGAGTATGTTTTCTCTTTAGTTCTCATTGCACATTGTAATTTCATTCATCTTCATTAACTAAAGTGTATTGTCCATCTTTTTTTACAAATCAAATTTTAGCACATTTCTAGATGACTTCAGTGATTATGTCCCTCTCTCATCTAACACCATGTCGTTAATCTCCTTGATTCTCTCATCTTTCAGTCTCCACTGCATCTCAGCTATTCATTCTGATCATTACACCATGGATGCTGCTTCCTCATGAAGAAACTCAACTTCCAGAATCACTTTCTAACTAGATGTACTTAATTTCCAAGTCACTTTTATAGACGACATTTCACATCAGCAGAATTCCAAGACATTAATTCCCTTACAGTACCCTTTGATGACTTGGTTCCTCTCTGGCTTAGATTACTGGGTAATTATCTTTATTCACTCTCAATACATACCAAATCCTGAGGATTCTACCCCATAAACATCTCTCAAATCCACTCACTTGTTTTCTTTATTATTTCAACTCCCTGTTCAAACTGCAGTCATAATTACCTTACAGTCTTTCAGAAGAGCCTCATCACAAACACATTATTAACACCTGCAATCCATTTTCTCTTGCAGTAGATTTTATGACAAACAGTTTCCTGGCAGGTGTCTGCAGCTTCTGGTTGTACTGGTGTGAGATCCTAGTTCCTCACCTGGTATTCTTCCAAATGAATACTTATGAGTATTCTAGAATCCATAATTCTAGAGGAATTCTAGAAGGGAAGGATAAGAGAACAGTGAGTTTTATGACCCAATTTTCAAATTCATCCCTGTCTATTTAGGTTTTATTCTAAATCGAATCATTGAGTCTTAATTCAGTTCACAATAAATAGTGGATTAGGCTCCACCTCATACAGGGAGGAGTGTTAAATATGTTATATATTTAAAAGGGTACAAATATTATGAAAATATTCTATACAAGGATTTTAAAACATTTTTAATCAAAATAAACTCATCTTTTAGTTAGATTTTCCCATACTTTTAAAGAATCTTCATATTTTGAAAACACCATATCTAGTTCTCTCAATTTTAAAAATATTGACATTTTCAGGTATTTTCAGGACTATACTGAGCAAAAATTATTTTAATAATCGATGCCTTAACATCAGAAAATAACTAACAAAGGTTACCATGGACCTTTTAAGAAAGTGTATGTTTCAGTGGACTCATTTTGGTCAAATTTTTGGCCTAATCCAGTTTTTGAAAAAAAATTGTACTACAAGCTATCATTTTTTTCTCCTTATAAATAATGATTTGTTGTGAAATATGTGAATGCTTAGCCTGAGATTGTACATTTCCTGAATTATTTATGCTTTATAGTTTTGCATTTTACATTTAAGATTACAATTCATTTTCAGTTAAATGTTGTGCAAGATATGAAGTGTATTTACTCACTGAAATGCTTATGGATATCCCATTGCTCTTGTATCATCTGTGAAAAGCTCTGTGCTTTCTCAATTAAATTACTTTTCCATTGTTATCAAAAATGCTTTAGATTAAAATGCTAAGTACATACAAAAATATGCTCATGAATGTTTATATCAGCTTTATTCATAATTTCCAAACCTGGGAAGCAATCAAAATGTCCTTCAGTAGATGAATGGATAAATAAACTCTGGTCCATCAGGACAATGGAATTTTATTCAACGCTAAAAATATATGAGCTATCAAGTCAATAAAATACATGGAGAAAACTGAAATGTTTATTACAAAATGAAAGAGATCAATCTAAACAAACCATGCACTGTAAGATTCCAACATGCTGGCAAAGACCAAATAACAGAAAAGCAAAAAGCTCAGTGCTTTCCAGGAGTTGGGAGTGGAGCATAGAATGAATATGCAGAACATAGGGCAATAGAACTACTCTGTTTCATACAATAATACTGGACACATGCCATAAATTTGTCCGAATCAGTAGAATGTATAAGAGCAAGAGTCACACCTGATGTAAACTGTGGATGCTGCCTTATAATGAAGTGTCAATATAAGTTTGTTAGTTGTCGAAGGGTAACTCCTTGGTGTGGAATGTTGACAGTGGGAGAGGCTATGAGTGTTTGGGTTCAGGAGGTCTGTGGGAACACTGTGTGCCTTTTGCTGGATTGTGCAAAGAATCTGAACTCTAAGAAGATATATTTAAAAATAAGTTGGACATATGAGCAAACTTACAGTTCATCAGAATGGAATCAAAAGTCTGTTTCGCTGCAACTTTTTTTGAAATCCATGTGTAGTTTTTTCATAATATACATTTTTCATGAACCTTTTTGAAGAGTCCACGTATGTGTTAATATGCTTCTGGGTTCTGCATTCTATTCAATTTATCTATATTTCTAACTTTATAGAAAATGTTAATGTCAGGTAGAGTGATTCCTACTGATTTCTTAATACTTTGCAACATAGTTTAATGTATTTTAAGTTCTGAACATTTCTAGAAAATTTTGAGCATATGCTTACCTATGTCTACACAAACCCATGCTGGAATTTTGATAGGGATTGCATTAAATTGTGCATTTATTTCCTATCATTGCTGTAACAAATTACCTTTTTTACTTTTATATAGATTTATTTATTTCAAGGTTAAAAGTTACAGAGAGAGAGGGAGAAACACGGAAAGTGATATCTCCTACTTGCTGATTCACTCCCCAGATGCCCACAATAGCCAGAACTAGGCCAGTCCAAAGCCAGGAGCCAGGAGTTTCATCCAGCTCTCCAATATGGGTGGCAAGGTCCCAAGCACATGGGCCATCTTCTTCTGCTTTTCCCAGGCCATTAGCAGGGAGCTGGATTAGAAGTGGACATCTGGAACAGGAACCACCACCCATGTGGTATGCTGCACTAGAGTTACCTAATACACCACAAACCAGCCCATCTGGGAATTTTATTACTTTGTGTTTTGTGTTTTGTGTTTTGATTCATGATGCATTTTGAGATAATGTTTGTGAAGTGTGCTAGGTCTTATGCCTAGATTAATTGTGTTTATGTGTGTGTGTGTGGGTGGGTGTTCAGATGCCCAGCTATTCCAGCACTAATAGTTGAAAAGATGATTTTTCTGTTATTTTTATTTTGAATTTTATAATTTTTGTTTCATTCTCTCTTATAACTTCTCCTTCTGTGCTGAAATTTTCTATTTTTGTATTTCTTTCAAGAGAAACCCTAATTATCTGTTGAAACTTCTTTTGATGGCTTTAAAATATTTCTCAGGTGTATTGGCATCTGATGATTATCGAATTCAAGTTGTAATATTACTTTTTCTTGATATGATGAGTCATTTTATTGCTTACTCCAAATTTTTGAGTATTGACTTGGTTGACTCTGTTACTTATTTCTATTTTATAGTCTAGTCACCGTTTAGCTTGTAGGTTGCAAAATACTTCTGTGAGCTACAGTCACAATGAAAATTTAGATTTCTGCCTCTGACATGCTATGCTGTCTGTTTCATTGTTTTGATTCTGCTTCACCTCTTGCTGTAGCACTGCTGCACCATATGCAGGGACAGAAGAAACTTATGTGGGCCACTGATATCATTATGTGGGTATGGAGAAACTGAACCCTTGGATGAAAAAGCATTTATTCTTGTCCTATTTTGTGGCCACATAATCCAGGTGAGGTTTCCACTCTTATCTCTATTCTGCCACCAGGGGAAAGATGTTGCCTGTGTAGGTCACATTTTGCCAGTAGGTGGTGGTCCAGGACATGCTGTTGATAACCTGTTTCTGCTATTTACTGAAAAACTATAGACTCCTGGTTTTGGATCTTCTGCTGCTGCCAAGTTGCCAGGTCAGGCTGACTCTGGTTAGATGACTGGGAAATTCGGATTCTGGGTCTTCTGCTACTGAATGGGGATGAATGCAGATGCCACCAGTGAAGACACAGCACTCCTCTTGTTGTCTGGGTCCTGTGTTACCACTGCTCAGGGTTAATTTGAACTGTTATTGCCAGTGGCTGTGGAGTAGAAATTGAGCTGGCTTTCCCAGATTGCATTTATACCATTTCTGAGGAAATGCTGGTCAATCCATCCATATTCTGGCATTGCTGGTCATTATTGCCATTGGGCACAGGTCTTCCAATTAAGTACCTGCTGGGGATTTCTCTCTTATACAGCTTTTGGTCAGAGAATGAGGGCCTTTCTTTTCTTTATTTCTTTCTTTGTATTTTCCATGTGTTGTTTCTGAATTGTCTTGCCTCTTGTTGTCCAGCTTGTCCAATGCTAGATAGACAAAAAACATAAAATCAACAGAACTCATCCAATGTCAACCTTCACATCCTCAGGTTCTTAGTTGGCTTTCTTTCAACATTTATAATTTTACATTAAATTAGTTCATTTTTCCCCTAGAGCATTTAATTGTACTTAGAGATGAAGAATAGAGAAACATGAGTTTATGCCACGTTATCCCAGATCCAAAAGCAAATGTTTTATTAAAAACAAAACAAAATGAAATCAAAAGCTTATTTAATATCCTATGTAATACCTTATATAAATTTATTTAAGATTTTATACCTTTATACTGGATGCTAATGATGTATGGTATGTAGTTTATTGAATGTGAAAATTGGGATTATTCCTCCCTCTTTAAAACTGAAAGATATGATTTTGCATCAGAATTTTAAAAGAAAATCTTACTAAATAGTAAGTTTGCTTACTGAATAGCATGGTTAGTCATAGCAGTGAAACTTATCCCACATGTTGGTGTCTTCGTTTCTTTTTTAAAACCAATTTGTGCAAAAAGTATTATATTTTAAAGCAAAAATAAAATTAAATTTACCTTGGAATGTGAAATTTGCACTTTTATCCATAGTAGAGAAGACTAAGAGAAATATAATATTGAATCCCAGATGGGATCCTAGAAATAAAATATAGACAGTGGGAAAGTGGAGAAATCTATATAAAATCTATAGTTTATTCATATCCTAACTACATTGATTTATTTGTTTTGATAAATGTAGTGTAGTTATTAATATGTGACCATTAGAAGAAGGTAGATGAAGAGTATATGAGAACACTGTGGACTAATGTCTTAAGATTTTTAAAATTCTAAAATTATTTCAAAACAAAACCTCTAAAAATCTTTAGTGTGTCAGTAGGTCTCATTTCATTGATTTTACTTTCTATTAGAGATCTTTAAAAATAACACATAGATGAATTTTTTGGTGTAGAATTTTTAAAATATAGATAAGAAAACAGCTGACATTTCAACAGATTTTTAGAAATCTGAGTGTGAGCTAATGTGACAAATTAGCATCCCTTGGAGTCCAAACACCAGGGGATTTGGCTCCACTGTTTCACTTTCCCCCATAGGCTTCCAAGGTTGCTTATTATAAAGGTTCTGTCTTTGGCAACAAAATGGAGGCAACTGGAGACCATTATGCTTAGTGAAATAAGCCAGTCCCAAAAGACAAATGTCATATGTTTTCCCTGATTTATGGTAACTAATATACAGAGGACAAAGAAAATGTGGGAAAATGACATTTTGAGATTTGATTATAGCCCTTATCTATACTTTTGAAAAAATAGTGGTTTTTCTTCTTACTCCTTGTTGAATTTTGTATTTACTGGAGGGGTAAACTTATGATTATAAAGAACATTTAAAGTATGTCATTGTAAAAATTAAAAGAAAAATAAGAAAATGGGACTGAGGCAGGGGGTGATAATAGGGAGGGAAGTATTATATTCTTCAATCTGTATGTATGAAAAATATGAAATTTGTTCTTTTCATATGAATTTTCAAAAGTTAAACAAGAGCCAGAGAAGATCATGGACTTGAGAGAGCCACTGCAATGCTACTGTGATGCTTCCGAAGATGTTAAGTTATACATTGAGTTAGTTATAGAAGTCCAGGCATGTTCTGGGCTCGGCATGATTGAGTCACAAGAATGAACACCGCTTGTATCTCAGGCATGGAATGCTGTATGTTGCAGGTCAGAACCCTTCTCTCTGAAGGAAAAGAAGACCTTTTCCTGATAGCAGACAAATATTATCCATTACCCCTCCACACTCTGTTATGACACCATGTATCTGATGGTGGGTCAATGCCACAGACAGAAAATCTTTTCTTGCCTATGACCTTGCATTGATTCAAAACAAAGGTATGCTGTCCCTGGATGATGGTCAGAAACTCACCACCAATATAAGTCAGAGTTCAGCCATGATAGTGGAAGGG